ACCTGGTCAGAACTAAATTTTCTCAATAAACTTTATGTCGGTACCTCCTCAGAACCAACCTTTATTGAGAGTAAAAAAAACAATACCTGGTCAGAACTAATTTTATAAGTAAACTTTATGTCGGTACCTCCACAGAACCAACCTTTATTTACAGTAAAAACAACCATACCTGGTCAGAACTAAATTTTCTCAATAAACTTTATGTCGGTACCTCCTCAGAACCAACCTTTATTTACAGTAAAACAACAATACCTTGTTAGAACCAAATTTAATAACTAAGCTTTATGTCGGTACCTCCTCAGAACCAACCTTTATTTACAGTAAAAACAACAATACCTGGTCAGAACTAATTTTTATAAATAAACTTTATGTCGGTACCTCCTCAGAACCAACCTAAATTTACAGTAAAAACATAAGTACCTTGTCAGAACCAAATTTTATAACTAAGCTTTATGTCGGTACCTCCTCAGAACCAACCTTTATTTACAGTAAAAACAACCATACCTTGTCAGAAACAAATTTTTTAAGTAAATTTTATATCGGTACCTCCTAAGAACAAACCGTTATTTAAATAAAAACAACAAACCCTTGTCAGAACCAAATTTTATAACTAAGCTTTATGTCGGTACCTCCTCAGAACCAACCTTTATTTACAGTAAAAACAACCATACCTGGTCAGAACAAAATTTTCTCAATAAACTTTATGTCGGTACCTCCTCAGAACCAACCTTTATTTACAGTAAAAACAACCATACCTGGTCAGAACTAAATTTCCTCAATAAAATTTATGTCGGTACATCCTCAGAACCAACCTTTATTTACAGTAAAAACAACAATACCTGGTCAAAACTAATTTTTATAAATAAACTTTATGTCGGTACCTCCTCAGAACCAACCTAAATTTACAGTAAAAACATAAGTACCTTGTCAGAACCAAATTTTATAAGTAAACTTTATGTTGGTACTTCTTCAGAACCAACCGTTATTTACAGTAAAACTACAATACCTTGTAGACTTAATATCGTTACCTCTTCAGTACCTTGTCAGAACCAAATGTTATTAACTAATGTTTAAAGTGTAACCTCCTCAAAAGCAACTGTTATTTAAACTAAAAACAATACCTTATCAAAACCATTTTTTTTTTATCTATACTTAAGATCGTTACCTTCTCGGAACAGACCGTTTGTTCCAGTAAATATAACAATATACCTATTCGGAATAATTTTCTTTCTATGCAGACTTTCTCATATACCTTTTCAGAATAACTTTGAAAATCAAGAATACCTTGTCAGAACCAAAATTTCTATGTAGACTTTTGGTCGTTTCCTCCTCGGGAACAAACCGTTATTTTAAGTAAATATAACAATACTTTTTTTGAATAGTTGTCTTTTTATGCAGACTTTAGGTAGTGACCTGCTACAACTTTTCGTTATATACAGTAAAAACAAGTATGCCTTGTCAGAACCAACATTTTTTCTTACAAATAGATAAAAGTATTCTAATCCAAGCAATTGTTTTACACATAATTATGATCAGTATAACTAAAATTATATTTATACGTTATATCGCTTCTTTTATTACCGTTTGATATATTAATGAATTATATGTTAGCTCGGCTACACAAAATGTTATTTGAATAATTTTCATTGCATGCGCGTAGCTACGTTAACGTCAAAACGCCCGGGCGTACACATAAATTTGAAGAAAAAAATATTTTAACCCTAATAAATCAAAAGAACTGATTAAAAGCACACGAGCATTGTAATTCTTTCTTCAATGACTTGTAATTAAAGATAAAAGACTAAGTGATGAAAGTAGAAGGTCTGGTAACGACTAGTTTTGGCCTAAAATTCGAAGTACAACTGATGAAAGATTTTTGATATTTTTTAAACACTTAAGTGTCTATTTCAGTCGATTCAATTAGTTTATGTAATAGGATTTGAAATGATTTGTCCATTAAAGACGCTGAAATTCAACCTTAAATATGAAAAATCTATCAAATATGCCATTAAACGTCACTTTTCAGATGGTTTTTGTCTAAAATGTAAGTGGCCGCATTCGTGTTCAGTCTCAACCTTTATATATGTTATGTATAACCATCAAATACAACATATATTTGAATATTAAGACTGAACACAAATGCGGCCACTTCCATTTAAACAAAAACCGTCTTAAAATTAGCACAAATGTGCATTGTATTGTCAAAAAATAGCCCATATTTATGGAACAAAAGTATTCTTCTTTCCAATAAATAGCTAAAAGTTTACATTAATTCTACAAATTTAAAAAAATGCTATATTTTGGGGCCAAAAAAGGGTCTTACCGGGCCTACTGCTTTACTTCTTAATCAATTGGTATCACATTATTTTTATATACTTTTAGGTCATATAGATCTGCAACTGTTTCGGTTCTTATGCATCCTCGGCTTTCAAATATTCGGCTTTGAATGTTACTGGTGAAGGTAAATCCAGAAAAGCACTAAATGGACACATGAAATTAATAACGTGTTGTTTTCATATTTTATATTATATATTCGTCCATTTTCTGTCAAAGTCTGATTTTACTGTGAATTCTACAGTTTACTTTTGTTTAGATCAATTCATTATCTGCTGAGATACGATGTGGTTTGCATTTTTATGTTACAGTTCAATATTTATTTTACGTTACACCTGACCGATCTATGAGAATTAATTAGGACATGTGTCCATTACTGAAATTTGAATTTGAAGGTGAGTAAATTAAATAAGGTAAAAAAAATAATAGAATGACAACATTGAAACGGAGACTTGCTTTTTTACTATCTCTTTAAAGTTATGATTTTTTTGTTGATTGACTGTTTAGGTCCGTGTATATTTGTGTTTACCCCACATCTCCTTTTAGACATATTTTAACGCAACTGGTTTGGACATTTTTCTCTTAATTAAATGTACATTATATTCCAAATCAACACAAAATTGATAAATTTAACATAAAAAAAACAACAAATTAGACTCTAAAAGAGAAGAGAAAGATATCAAAGGGATATTTAAACTCATCAGTTTAAAACAAACTGACAATACCATGGCAAAAAATGAAAACTACGAAAAGGCAAACAACAGTATACAAAACACAACACCAAAACAAAAGACTGAGCAACATAGCCCCACCAAAAACTGGGGGTGATCTCAGGTACTCCGGAAGGGTAAGCAAATTCTGCTCCACGTGTGGCACCCGTCGTGTTGCTGATGTATGTACAAACCCAGTGATAAGTCTAATTCGGTAGGTCACATTCGAGGAAAAGAGCTAGGACGGGATTGTGGTAATATCAAAATTTGAACATATATGTCGTCATTAGCAATCAGTGAAACAGATATTCCATAACGGTCAACCTACTCGTGATGTCGACCGTAAAATTTCGAAGGGATGATTTCAACTTCACCACTTGGAACTCTTCACTTGGTTCAGTAGCTTCCTTCTAAGCATGCAGCAACCATCTATCAAGGAAATAATGATAAGAAATGCAAGCTCTGGAATGTCTTATCAACTGGGAGGTTTATAATCCATATGCAGGTGCTGCTGGAATGTTGCTACATAGAAAAGAAAAGTTCACAATTGGAAGCTGAAATCATCTCTTTTATCGTAAAGTTTTGTTCTTATATCGATCAAGTATGTTGCTATTGATATGAGTTTTTAATGACAGATATTGGTATCTTTTTCTCAATAACGCGTGAACTTCCGGGGGTTTCGCGACCTACCAGAAGATCTCCTGCCTTGGACCAGCTTAGGGGACCTCGAACCCCTCGATGAGATTCGGGCGTACACTTAAAAATGGCCTAGCTACGCCACTGCATTGATTGAATAATGCACACTTTTATTGTGATTGGGGTAAAACTCAATGTCACCTAGCTGTGGTATCCATTGACATTGAAATTTAAAAAAATATATTTTCTATACTGTGAGTTCAGCGGGGGACAACACGGAAAAGCCCCTGAAAGGAATTGGAAGAGAAGATGAGAAGATACTGAAAGAAATTCAAAAGAAAAATATTCATGAAATGAATATTTGGAAGTGACCCAATGGCAATTTGAAAAAAATAAAATAAAAATCACTACTTTCATTTCCGGGGGCATCGCTCGCAAATTCGCAAACTGTTGAAGAATACTCTAAATCTTGTACTGAGAAAATTACAAATTATAAACTACAAAATACATTATACAATACAATACAATGTGTGTTTGTTCCAATTAAGGTTCCCTAGGGGGCAGTGAAAAGATACAGACACTGATAGGACTAAAGGATTGTATATATTAGTAAAATCTTAACATCAAAACTTATCTTCGTACACATTATCAAATGTGTAACGTCTCTAAAGAACTGACTTATTAATCTTTCTTTTGGTGGAGTTGGGAGGGGATTCCTCGGGACTTTAAATATTGTTGTTGCAACTTGAAAAAAATAAATATTTGTTTTAACACGATATCGAACGGGTGTTTCATGTATCATCCGTGTTAGCTAGTGTGGGGTATAAATACATATTATGTATTTTGATAAAAATAAGAGAGCTATATCATATTGAAATTGACCTATTTAATGTTGGGGTTATCTATCTCTGATGTTTTTATATGTCTCCTGTTTTTCTAATTAACTGAAATCTATGTTTGTAAAATTACAATAGTTTGTCGGCTGCTTATTTCACTTAAATACTAATTTGTAATTCATATTAAATTTTAATATATAGCTTATATAACCTCACATGGTAAAGTAATCACCACGTAGACATTTTTATTACGCCGGCTCTATTAATGCAAACAACTTTAATGTTTTCTTTCAGGGTCGTTGTTATCTGTCTTAATTTTACGGGAATGAGGAGTTATTCAAGAGGTCAATCAAAGACATATCTGCGCAAGACTTATATTGGTTCTGAGAACGTACTCCGGTTCTGCACAAGTAATGGTTCTGGGGAAGTGCACCGCTGCCGTACCCTTATCGTAATTTTAGCTAAAATGAACTATCTAGAACTGTCGACAACTGATCTGATGTAATACACAAAATTGAATGTAAAAATATTGAGCATAAATAACTTGTGCGCAGACCAACCCGTCACACAATTGCCGAAAGGAATCTGTGACGTACCCATCCTTATACAGAAGTCGGAAATACAGATACAGATACAGAATTCGTAAACGTTGTCGAATTCGTGGATTTCCCGGACTGGATACATAAACTGGAGATGTTGTAGGGGAAGTAGGTATCTTCTTAATTACATGTAACACCAACAAACATGACAAACGACGTTTCAAACGTGTGCATATTTATTGGACTAACCAGGGACAGTCCACAGGCACTTATTTCTATCCATGGGAAGGTCGACCTTCCAATGGATAGAAACAAGCATCTAGAAACAAGTGCCTGTGACAGGCCAGGAATAACCATTAATTGGTGGCCATGGATTATACCTCAATTAAGGTATAATACATCATTTGACAATGAGATACACCAATTGAGGTATAATGCAGTTTTTATCAAAACAAAATTTTAAGAGATAGTGGAGCGGGAGCGTCTTTTTACCACAGAACACCACAGAATACCACAGAACACCAAAAATATACCACAGAACTTCGAAATATAAATACTTTAGACATTATATTGTTGTTATTGTTAATTCTTTTTATAATTTGACATTTATTATTCAAATAAATTTATTTTTTTTCTATTTAGGGTCGACTCACTATCGCTACGCCCCCAACTGTGGGTCTCATTGGGGTTTAAGCGTGACCCGGGATTGCCGATTTTCTGTAAGCGTGACACGTGAAAGTCAAATTATTGTGCCGTGAAAACGGGAAATGAAGTCTAGCGGGACACGGGAAATTACAAAAAAATGAGAATTGCTTACGTACATAGTGTAAGCGGGATACGGGAATCTGGTAAAACAGTAAGCGGGATCCGGGATCAGAACCCCCCAATGAGATCCCCCCAACTGAATTGGCCTATTATTGGGTCTATACCAAAAGCACCTACCGGTATTAAAACCATAATATACAAAAAATATTTAAAGTCACAACAATTGTAATTCTGGGGTATATTTGTGACATTTCATTTTTTTTTAAATACATTTTAATTTTTTCTTGTTATTTTTGTTCTTCCATTTTTATACGACCGCAAAAAAATTTTGTGGTCGTATATTGGTATGACGTTGGCGTCGTCGTCGTCGTCCGAAGACACATTGGTTTTCGCACTCTAACTTTAGTTTAAGTGAATGGATCTCTATGAAATTTTACCATAAGGTTCAATACCACAAAAGGAAGGTGGGGATTGATTTTGGTGGTTATGGTACCAACAGTTAAGGAATTAGGGGACAAAAAGGGGCCAAAAATAAGCATTTTTGTAACTTCCAGACATAACTTGTGTGTTAGTGTATGGATCTCTCTGAAATTGTACCACAAGGTTCCATATCACAAAGGGAATGCTGGCATTGATTTTGGGGGTAATTGCCTCCAAATTTTAGGAATTAGGGGCCAAAAAGGGGCAAAAAACAAGCATTTTTCTAGTTTCATGACTCTGACATTGTACCACAAGGTTCCATATCACAAAGGGAATGCTGGGATTGATTTTGGGGGTAATTGCCTCCAAATTTTAGGAATTAGGGGCCAAAAAGGGGCAAAAAACAAGCAGTTTTCTAGTTTCATGACAATAACTTGTGTGTAAGTGTATGGATCTTTATGAAATTGTACTTCAAGGTTCCATATCACAAAGGGAAAGCTGGAATTGATTTTGGGGGTAATTGCCCACAACGTTTAGGAATAAGGGGCCAAAAATAAGCATTTTTCTAGTTTCCAGACAATAACTTGTGTTCAAGTGTATGGATCTCTCTGAAATTGTACTGCAAGGTACCATACTACAAAGGGTAGGCTGGGATTGATTTTGGGGGTAATTCCCTAGAAATTTGAGGAATTAGGGGCCATAAAGGGGCAAAAAAAAACCAAGCATTTTTCTAGTTTCAGGACAATAACTTGTGTGTAAGTGTATGGATCTTTATGAAATTGTACTGCAAGGTTCCATATCACAAAGGGAAAGCTGGGTTTGAGTTTGGGGTAATTGCCCTAAATGTTTATGAATTTGGGGCCATAAAGGGGCCAAAAAACAAGCATTTTTCTAGTTTCCAGACAATAACTTGTGTTCAAGTGTATGGATCTCTCTGAAATTGTACTCATACATATGAACCTCCCAACGGGTGTACAATAATCCCGTTTTCAGGGGTCTCCTCCCGACATCCCGTTGAAGACAAAAAAATCCTGTGTATGAAATATTTCATGAATGAAAAATTTCAGCCCAACATATCTGGTGTAACTGACATTACCTGAAGTTATATTTTACCTGTAAATCAATTAACATGCATAATTATATGGCTTCACTTGTCACCTTGGGTGTCAAACATACTGGTAATCAACGATTTTTACCTCAGGCTGATTGTGTAATAAAACTTTGTATTTAAAATGAATGTTGGGCTACTTCCCTTGATTTATTCAGTTTTAAGTTATTTTCCTTTAAACAATGTAAATTTTTAAAAGAATATAAATAAAATATAAATTGAACAAATAATCATAAAAGGATGGTAATTAAATGATTTTAAATGTCTTAGGACAAATAAAAAAATAATAATTTGAAAATTATTTGAGGGTTCTATACTTCCTTTCAAGGCTTAAATTGAAATTTATATATTAACTATGACCCATGATCATAGTTCGTATGTGTTACTTATCATGCATTAAAAATCTACTTGCATAATAAAGATAAAAAAAAAAAAATCTCCTTCCATATAGATAAGCAAATGTTCTGATTGCAATGAATAATGGTAAAAAAGATAAGAAATTTTAAAGAACATACTAATCATGCTAATAAAGAAGAATGTTAGATTGAACAAGTTCAAAGTTTAAAAAGATAGAGAAAATTTATAAGTACAAGGGTACTATAAACATAATACATTCGGATGGAAAGTTGAAGAAAACACACTTTAACAGACAATTTCTACAGCAAACGGTTACATTTATGACAGAATTTGTGTCGATTAAAAACCTCCTGATCTGAGTCCTAATCTCCTGACCAAAATTTCCCAAACTCCTGATCTGAGTTTCACAGTCCATCACATTTATGTGCACTGCAAGGTACCATACCACAAAGGGAAGGCTGGGATTGAGTTTGGGGGTGATGAATCATAAGGGGGTTCAAAAAATTTTGGGGGGGGGTTTCCTTTTTTTTCTTTAAAATTTTCCATTTTAAATTGGTTATTTCTGATTTATATATAAAAGCAAATAATAATGATATGGTTTGAATAGATAAATTAAAAATTTTTAAGTTCTTAGACCACATTCATTCTGTGTCAGAAACCTATGCTGTGTCAAATATTTAATTACAATCCAAATTCAGTGCTGTATCAAGCTTGAATGTTGTGTCCATACTTGCCCCAACTGTTCAGGGTTCTACCTCTGCGGTCGTATCAAGCTGCGCCCCAGCAGAGCATTTTATTTAGAATGTTTAGATACATAACGAATTATATCTTAAATCTATTTTGTATATACCAGAATTTATTGTTTTTGTAGTCATTTTTTTGTTGTATTTTATGTTAAGAGTTGTTACAATAAGTACATGTATATTATTAAATATTGAATAATATATAAAGCAGTCCTTTAAGGGCTACCAAATACTTTCAAAAAGATATTTGAAATTGTTGTTGGACAGTTATTTGAGTTGACTAATAAAATATTATAAGTGTGTCTTTATACATGTAATAGTCAAAAATTTCAAATTTGATGATTTGGGAATTTTCTTTTGATGTGTGTATATCTTCTCCAATTTATGTATAGAATTTATGCAGGGCCTTAAAATGTGTGAAACGGAAACTTATTGTACAATTCCATAGTCATTTTCACAAAGGAGTTCTTTTGTCAAATTTCGATGTGGTGTAGCACCACTAAGAATCGAAACAGGAAGATTTAAAAAATTACTTTTAGAGGAGCGAGTCTGTGATAGTTGTAAGGATATTTTAGAAGATGAAGCCCATGTCATTTTATCGTGTGTTTTATATGACGATTTTAGAAAAAAATATTTGATGAAGCAACACATTTTAATAGTGATTTTATGTCTTTTGATGATAAACAGAAATTAGTGTTTTTATTTACAGATGTTACAAAGTACACAGAACCTTTCCTGTCTAACAATTCCAAGCCATCTACCGGTTTCTATAGGTAACCGGTTATTTCCAGTTCTAAACCTACATAAAGTTATTCTATCTTTATAAGGTAATAAGTCTAAATATTCTTCAAATTCCAAATTTTCTTTAAATAGTTTATAACATAATGCTTTTGGAGAGTTTTCCAGTTCTGATTTCCAAGAGGAATAAACCATTTAACTGAATTAAACCTTGCATAATCAGATGGTAATTAGAATCAATCAATTGACAATTTTGTAAACAGTTGAATATTTTGAAATTAACAGAAGTGGGAGAACAAACTTAATCTTAATAGTGTAATTGGCGCCGGTAAAATTCACAATGTCAACTTTTTATTTTTATAGAAAAACATTTTTTTATAGAAAAAAGCATTTTTTTTTATAGAAAAACATTTTTTTATAGAAAAAACTTTTTTTATAGAAAAACATTTATTAATAGAAAATCATTTTTTTATGGAAAAACTTTTTTTTTACAATAAATTGTTTTTAAAAGATTTTTATAAAATATAGTTTAGTATCTCAAAGGTCTCCAAATATAAAAAAAATCTACCAAATAACAAAAAAAGTTATGATCATTAAAGAAATTCATATTTCATCCGGTCAATCGTCCTGTCATTAGTGTAGCCCGAATTATGAAAATAATATAATTCTGACTTATTAGTTTTGCATTTTGTAAAGTAATTCAATGTTCTGTGGTATATTTTAGTAGTTTAATTGTATTTTGTGTAGTTCTGTGGTATATTTTGGGTGTTCTGTGGTATTCTGTGGTGTTCTGTGGTATTCTGTGGTGTTCTGTGGTAAAAAGACGCTCCGATAGTGGAGCATCTTTTTGGATTAACCATAACAAGCTTTGATGACCACTTAGTGATGACATGAAATTGATATTGACACTTCGTGCTGCATTTTGTCATGTTTGTTAGAGAAACCCAAAAACTAATCATTGCTAATATGAACCTCCTTTTCCTACTTATAAATTCTGAGTTTTCATCTATTAAATCTTATTTTTGTTCTTTAGTCTCTTCCTGTCCATTTCAACTGACAAATCTTAAAGTTGGGACTGATGCATACTTAAGGAAATCAGTCGTCAACAACCATCAATTAGTGGATTATACCTCAATTAGGTATAATCCACATTTTCATAAAACGCAGCACAAGAAGTCAGAAGCAATTACATGACATCATTGAGATCTCATCAAAGCTTAAGATTCTTAGATAGTATATGCAAAAAGATGCTCGAATATGTCTTTAAAAATTTCTGTGGTAAAAACTGCATTTTTATACGACCGCAAAAAAATTTTTGTGGTCGTATATTGGTATGACGTTGGCGTCGTCGTCGTCGTCGTCGTCGTCGTCGTCCGGCGTCGTCGTCCGAAGACGAATTAGTTTTCGCACTCTAACTTTAGTTTAAGTGAATGGATCTCTATGAAATTTTACCATAAGGTTCAATACCACAAAAGGAAGGTGGGGATTGATTTTGGGGGTTATGGTACCAACAGTTAAGGAATTAGGGGCCAAAAAGGGGCCAAAAATAAGCATTTTCTAGTTTCCAGACAATAACTGTGGAATGGTGTATGGATCTCTCTGAAATTATACTACAAGTTTCCATACCACAAAGGGATGGTTAGGATTTGCTTTGGGGGGTTATGGCTCAAACCGTTTAAGAATTAGGGGCAAAAAAGGGGGAAAAACAAGGTTGTCCTGGTTAATGGACAAATACTTTAGTACAAAACATAATTTAAAGCAGTGTAAGGGAGATAAATCAAATACATCATTGAAATTATCTCCCTTACACTGCTTTTAAATTATGTATAAAGTAATGGTTAATGAACAATTAAGATAATTTAAAACAGTGTAAGGGAGGTAATCCAAATACAACGTTTTGGTTACTTCCCTTACACTGCTTTTAAATTATGTTTAAAGAAATGCATATTTATAAAGGAAGACCAGTAAAAATATCTGCAAATGTTGCATCTTTTTTTTTCACCAAAAAATCCATATGAAAGATTTGACACTATATTTTAAATTCTATTATAAAATAGATTAAGTTAGCACTATGGTAAATTTAAATGGGTAATTATGGTTGCAAACTCCATTGGAAATTTGAATTGAGATTATGACCATATCTTGAGGGAAATAATTTTTTTGGGGAAAAAAGGGGGGGGTAAAAAGAAATTGTGGGGGGTCAATTTTTTCTCATTTCAGATTTCAGAAATTAAAAAGAATTATTCTTCAAATATTATTTTTTTTCAAATTTCAAATATTGAAAAATTTCAAGAAGTAATCTTTAATTGCACAGTATGGCGCATTAGATTTGTAAAATCTTTGACCACATTTAATTATTTGTTATGCCGAATCTAACCGTGTATTTAGATTTTTAATTTTGGGTCCAGTTTTCAAATTGGTCTACATTAAGGTCCAAAGGGTCCAAAATTAAACTTTGTTTGATTTTAACAAAAAATTGAATATATGGGGTTCTTTGATATGCTGAATCTAAACATGTATTTAGATTTTTGATTTTTGGCCCAGTTTTCAAGTTGGTCCAAATTGGGGCCCAAATAAAACTTTTTTTTTGTTTGATTTCAACAAAAATTGAATATATGGGGTTCTTTGATATGCTGAATGTAACCATGTACTTAGATTTTTTATTTGTGGACCCCGCTATCAAATTGGAACATATTGAGGTCAAAAGGGTCCAAAATTAAACTTTGTTTGATTTCATCAAAAATTGAATTATTGGGGTTCTTTGATATGTCAAATCTAACCGTGTATTTAGATTTTTAATTTTGGGTCCCGTTTTTAAATTGGTCTACATTAAGGTCCAAAGGGTCCAAAATTAAACTTAGTTTGATTTTAACAAAAATTGAATTCTTGGGGTTCTTTGATATGCTGAATCTAAACATGTGTTTAGATTTTTTATTATGGGCCCAGTTTTCAAGTTGGTCCAAGTTGGGGTCCAAAATTAAGCTTTGTTTGATTTCAATAAAAATTGAATATATGGGGTTCTTTGATATGCTGAATCTAAACATGTATTTAGATTTTAGATTTTTTGCCCAGTTTTCAAGTTGGTCCAAATTGGGGTCCAAAATTAAACTTTGTTTGATTTCAACAAAAATTGAATATATGGGGTTCTTTGATATGCTGAATCTTACCATGTATTTAGATTTTTTATTTGTGGGCCCGCTATCAAATTGGTTCATATTGAGGTCAAAAGGGTCCAAAATTAAACTTTGTTTGATTTCATCAAAAATTGAAATATTGGGGTTCTTTGATATGCCAAATCTAACCGTGTATTTAGATTTTTAATTTTGGGTCCCGTTTTTTAAATTGGTCGACATTAAGGTCCAAAGGGTCCAAAATTAAATTTAGTTTGATTTTAGCAAAAATTGAATATATGAGGTTCTTTGATATGCTGAATCTAAACATGTGTTTAGATTTTTGATTATGGGCCCAGTTTTCAAGTTGGTCCAAGTTGGGGTCCAAAAATAAACTTTTTTTGATTTCAACAAAAATTGAATATATGGGGTTCTTTGATATGCTGAATCTAACCATGAATTTAGATTTTTTATTTGTGGGCCCCACTATCAAATTGGTTCATATTGAGGTCAAAAGGGTCCAAAATTAAACTTTGTTTGATTTCATCAAAAATTGAATTATTGGGGTTCTTTGATATTCCAAATCTAACCGTGTATTTAGATTTTTAATTTTAAGTCCCGTTTTTTAAATTGGTCGACATTAAGGTCCAAAGGGTCCAAAATTAAACTTAGTTTGATTTTAGCAAAAATTGAATATATGAGGTTCTTTGATATGCTGAATCTAAACATGTGTTTGGATTTTTGATTATGGGCCCAGTTTTCAAGTTTGTCCAAGTTGGGGTCCAAAATTAAACTTTGTTTGATTTTAGCAAAAATTGAATTCTTGGGGTTCTTTGATATGCTGAATCTAAACATGTGTTTAGATTTTTGATTATGTGCCCAGTTTTCAAGTTTGTCCAAGTTGGGGTCCAAAATTAAACTTTGTTTGATTTTAACAAAAATTGAATATATGGGGTTCTTTGATATGCTGAATCTAACCATGTATTTTGATTTTGGATATTGGACCATAATAGGTAAATTAAAAAAATTCAAGTTCTTAGACCACATTCTTTCTGTGTCAGAAACCTATGCTGTTTCAAATATTTAATAACAATCCAAATTCAGAGCTGTATCAAGCTTGAATGTTGTGTCCATACTTGCCCCAACTGTTCAGGGTTCGACCTCTGCGGTCGTATCAAGCTGCGCCCCAGCGAAGCATTTTATTTTCATCATGCTTGAAGATATTGACTTGATAATTGGTATATAGTTTTATCATGACAAGTTACAGATCAAGTTTGAATTTTGTTCTTGTCTGATGATTTTGTGCAGAGTTATGGTCCTTGGACTTAGAAAATCATTTTTATGCCCCCGCCGTAGCGGAGGGGGCATTAAGTTTTACCCTTGTCCGTCTGTACGTACGTACGTACGTACGTACGTCCGTCTGTACGTCCCGAAATTGGTTTCCGTTCTCTAACTTGAGTTTGCCTCAACCAAATGTTATGAAACTTATACACAATGCTTATTACCACAAAACACAGATCAAGTTTGAATTTTGGTGGCGTCACTTTAACCGATCTAGAGTTATGCCCCTTTATAAAAGGAAATATTGCAAAATTTTTAGTTTCCGTTCTCTAACTTAAGTTTGCCTCAACCAAATGTTATGAAACTTATACACAATGCTTATTACCACAAAACACAGATCAAGTTTGAATTTTGGTGGTGTCACTTTAACCGATCTAGAGTTATGCCCCTTTATAAAAGGAAAAATTGCAAAATTTTTATTTTCTTCTAAATATCAAGTTTATATAATATATTTTTAAAATTGGAGTTATCTTCCTTTGACCATGATTATAGTTGGATCAACTACAATCAATGCTTTATACAATGCAATGTTTAATTTTGACTTCCACTGATAAAACACAGATCAAGTTGAATTTGGGTAGTGT